TTAGGGCCAGTAAGATTTATGTTCTTGAAAGAACACTCATGTTCACTGCATTTATTTTTATCAAAATTACAGTACTTCTATTTTCTATTTTAATAAATACTTTACATTTTAAAATGTTTTTTATTTCTTAATAATCCGTAAATAAATTATTCCTATTTGATTTGGTACTCAGAAAACCTTGGGTAATGATTATAATCAATGTTGAAAATAGTTTTGCTGCTTAATCTTTGTGGAACCCGTCATACGTTTTTTTCTGGATTATTTGATGAATAGAATTTTCAAAAGCATAGCATTTATTTGAATTAGAAATGTTGTATTGTATAGTATATGGTACAATACAGTCATGATCAATTGGAGCTGTTTGCTGTGTAACACTCCGCGTAATATGCCGTGAAGAGTACAAAAACAATATGGGAGAGACACTCACTTTACCCAATAAAGAAAAAATATATAAAATCACAGACGCACAAAATCCGTATCAAATATCCAGTGTATTATACAAGTAGATCAAATATAAAGTAAGCACAAAAATGAGTGTGTGAGGAGTGTGGTAATGTAGATTGTCTTTGAGTCTGCGAAAACTATATACAAGATTTGAATCAGTCTCACCGGTGGAATACCATGAAAGAACGTCTGAAAGCAGATCCAGAGTAGCGACCGAAACGGTTGTCAATGTCCAGAAAAAAAAGAAGAAAAAAAACCGCACAAAAAAACTCCACAAGAGAGGCAGCAGTATAATCCAAAAACAGTTCGGTAAGTATTCGTTTGAACGTTTGAAGACCCGAGCAAAATAGAAATGAACAGAGTGAGCACCTACGCTCCTAAATGCTGGTAAGCCGGCTACCTAAATAGTAAAAAAAAAAGTCCTTGTTATGGTCACGTGACAACCCTAACACCCGGTGCCGTGCAGAATCTCGCGAGACAACTTCATCCGGGGATAACACACACACACACACACACACACACACAGGCATAATACAGAAAACGGGGCGATAATTAAAATAAATGATAAACAATGCCTGTGTTAATAAAAAAACACAGGCAAAAGCATGCCCCTTATGTGGCATTGCTACAGTAAGCATTGCAAAGTGAGCAGTAAGTATCCACAATGTGCATCCAGATTTGTTTGATCACTGCCATTGATAACATGCATCAACTCTATGTGTTTCTAATGTTTACATACCCTCGGCAGCCTGTCATCGGTTTCTTTGTGTGCTAGGTGGGCAATCCTTCTGAAGGGCTTGACCGTTCCGAAGTTCCCTACACCGACTGAGAAATGCTTGCTCTTCTTTCTGTGTGTGCGCTGCCAGCACCTGTTTTGTGAGTCCCAGCTTCTTATAGGCTTCCTGCTCCACTGTGGGTGGGGAAATCACACTAACAAGTGCAGAAGGGGCTGGGCTTTGTGCAGCATCCTCAATGATCTCTGCAAGTAACAGTTAAATGACATATGAATCACAATTTTAATTTAATCTTCCTCTTGAATCAACACCTGGATGGTTGTGATGCCCATCAGTAATGCGGAAAGAACAATAGAGGTTCCCTACATTGCAGATATCTACTGAAACTAGGGCTGTCGATTTAAAATGTTAACTGAGTGTGATTAATAAAAAAATAAAATAAAATAACATGCTAAATTAATAATGCATATATTGCACCCGGACCAGAACTGTACATCATCTTACACTGCATGCAGTTGTTGACGAACATGATGCAAAACAACAACTGACTGCATGATTTAGTCAGTTATATGTTCAAGTTCAAGTTCAAGTTGAGCTTTATTGTCATTCTGCTACTTGCCGAACTGTATTAAAGCTTTAATCAGAATAAAACCGTATATTAAAAGCTAACAGAAGCAGTAGCATTTACAAATAACAGCGTATCTAAAAGTATGAGACAGTTTATAAGACAAAAAATCTTAGGCCTACCATTAAAAGCCGTGCTTGCACAGGTTCTGCGCGATCCTCTTCAATAATATCCTCTGCGTCTCAATCGGGCTCAAATTGATAAGCAATATAGATGACGTCATTGTTTACAATACAATCTGAGCACATGCCGCTATGTTGAGGGGCGTGACGATTAGACACACGCTAGAGGCGGTTTAGCCAATCACAACACACTGGGCCAGCTAATCAATCAGAGCCCATCGTGTATTTCTGAGGGAGGGGCTTCATAAAAGCAGGAAATGATCAG